AATGGAAACAAAATCAACTTTTAAACAATGCATATTGATAAAATGTTTATTCGAGACAATATAATCCTGTACAGACCTGTCCACGCATTCAGTATGAAAACATTTAGCGAGAGCATTGGCTAGAAGAGAGTTAGTATTGTGGAAAAGGATTGATGTATTTAATTGCAGTGATCGTGGGTCTCCTTACGCATTTTATATTATCTGCCTTAGAAATTCACTAGTCTTGAAAACTACCAGATAATATGGCAAGTCATCAGTTTCCGGGGTATACCCAAAAAGATTGTTTATATATATTTTTTTCTTTCTTTCTTTATGTCAACTATCTATTCGTCTATCATTTCTGAACTGGCTGTAAAGTGAAAAGTTGGGCTCTCTTTGGTACCCCAGAAACTGATGCTTTACAACAAGTCCCAAATAAAGGCAGACATGTTGAGGTTTTATTATTTTTTTTTCTCTAGCACTACATCTCACTTTGTTTCATTTATTGTAGGAAAACGAATTATTTGTATAAAAGTCTCTTCAAAAACAGCTACGGGTTCCGTGCTATACACAATCAAGTGAGCGATTACAACAGAGTCATCCAATATTACACACATTCCTTGACGTCACCACCGAATTTCCAAAAAGGGAGGTTCGGAAATTCATGAAAAAGCAACGAGAAAGATTTTTGTCGGAAATGCAAGTGTGGACGTTTTCCATGGCAGCGAGAGCCAATCAGAACGCAGGACTTTCTCCATTCCCCTGTTGTGATTGGTGGGTTTGCTGCCGGGCAAAGTTCTCTCTTACGTTTTCGAGTTATTACTTGCTTTTTCCTGTAAGTACGAACACTATGCAAGTCATGTTTGAAGCAATACAGCCATAATTTCAGTTCCTTAAAAAACACAGAACAATCAATGTTTTAAAAAGACACAGCATCTCTCATTTTGGTAAGAACCCACGTCCATGCCCATAACAAATCAAATGAATAAAATGTCTAATAAAAACCTTCCACCACCTTTATACCACCTACAGTCAACAACGAGTGAACAGTCTATTGGAAACAGCTTCATCATAATTTAGGAATGGTTGATTGGTATTTACGAGAGGGAATGACCAGAAACACCAAAAAAGTCTCAATTTGGCAGGTAGGTTACATTCTGAATCTTTATACAGCATACTTACTGACAAATCATTCATGCCATATTTTTTTTTATATATATATTTTTTATTCAAATTCGAATAAAACACTGACACTTCACACGGCAGTTTCAGTGCACACCCAACAGCCCGTTTAGCAAAGGGCATTGACATATCTATAATGAACCCTGTGCATATGGTACACCTTACCGCAGCACGTGACACGGACCAACTACTGAAAACATGCTACGCTGTATGGACCACATAACGAACGAAGGAACCAATGGAATATATGGAAAATAAAAGAGAATAACGAAATTTTTTTTTCCTTACTCCTACGCAGCCACCGGAGGACGCCACTCGCAGCTGTTCCATGTCGCGCTGAGGCAAAATAAAAACAAAAACCCAAAAAAGAAAGAAAAGAAAAGAAAAAAGAAAAGTCACATCTGCATAGGGTTCTTATTTTTTATTTTTATTTTATTTTTTATTTCAGAGAACCATAGATCCATAGATATCTCGCGACCTATGCCATATTTCACGACGTGCTTTGCGAAACTTGAGCTTCTACCTCGGCGGATGATTCCCAAAGAAAGGATTCAATCTTACTTTACAAAGGGGGAGCAAGAAGGGAGGATTTAATCGTATTTTTTTTTCTTTTTTCATGAAATTGAACCTTATGGCAACTCCACCGTGAGCTCAGAATCCGCAAAACTCGTCTTATTCCAACGACAGGCAAAGAGAAAAAAATCGAATAGAATGAAGGCACACACGATGATACAAAGACCACGAAATAGCTCTTTGCATTATAGAGTCAAGGCCTGTATTTAGGGGCCGCTCTATCTTCAGGGATTATTCGGGGGTGTTCTGTTAGGGAGGGGAGGGGGAGGGGAGAGGGGCGGGGGATAACTTCCGCTGATTCAGGCTAAATTGAGTCAGACTACTGGTTATAAAACCCCTTGGAACCCTACCCACAACCTCTCATAGGATTTCCTTTGCTTGTTTATTTTTTTAAAAGTTATTTCGTTCATGAATACCAATAGCTATGGGACTTAAAAACTGATTAAATAGTTAAACAGTATCAAAGTTATCTCAAACTGATCATGCACTAGAGTAAGGGGGGGGGGGAGGGGGATAATAAGGTCGGTCTCATGCCCAAATTCTTGGTGGCTCTTTGAGGGGTATCCAGAACACATTCCGAGAGAAGGAGAGAGGCGATTCAGACCACTGTTCGGTTTAAAGAGGTTGGAACTGGGAGGGCGAAGGACTAACGCTAAGTGTATTTACCAAAGGTATCCGAGAAGCAGCTAAGGAGTGTATATATGCAAAGGGCACCCCAAGAATTCGCGCAAAAGATTCTATTCAACATGTACATCATTTTCATCCACTGGAAAATGATTGGGCTGCGGGCTGGACAGTGTTTTAACCGCGTGGCGTTTGCGGTGACGATGCGGTGGTGTTGGCCGGCCTGTGGAGGTGGCCGCCATAGGCCTACACAATTGCAGGTAAAAGCCTACGGAATCTGTAGACCAAAAAGGTTATGCCATCAATTCTACGATGGCGACATGACATCAGATTTCATAAATATTTGAAGTTTAGATCAATCATAGGCTATTATAATTCACATATATATATTCTTATATATAAATGTATGTATATATATTCATATATATCTCAAATTGCAACTGGGTTTTCTTTCAACAGGTTGTAATGTGAAGTTTCTATACAATGAGTAGATAATGAAACATTAAGCATTATGAAAGTGGTAGAGATTTAGTTAAAGATATAGAGGTTCTCTGTGCATTTCAGCTGAAGAATATACAATATGGAACACTTTTATATTGGCGTTTTGGGCAATAATAGATTTTAATGACAAGATGAGATGAGGGTTGAAAATCTTGGCTTAGAGCGCAATATTCTCGTCTTAATTAATGTTTAATACCACATTTGGTAGAATATCGTAGTCTCAGATACGAAAGACGACGCGGAGTGGAATTTACAACGTTCAAATTGGTTCACCGCAAAAGTTCAGTCTTCAGCTTGCGATAAATAGTTCAAAACGTTTACATCAGATTCCGTGAAGTATATTTAGTGAATCACTTTCATCCATTGTTTGATACCCCCGACACAGAGAAGTGCAGTTAGATGTCTCTGATTTCATCTACGAGTTTAGGACCTACTGAAAGACTGGGCACTCTACCATCATCAGTAATAATAGTACCGGGATCTGAAGCTTGAGAGTAATTTGAGAAATGAGGATATGTGAAACTCAACGTTCTGAATCAAAGAATCGAAAGACGGGAGAAGAAGGAGACAAAGAAAGAGATCAAACAAATTCGGCACGTACTGGTACTAAGAGAATTTATCAGACATGCATCATTGGACCTCGATTCTGTTAGATACAACTGGGATATCAACACCAGAAAGGTTATGTATCAGCAAATATCTCAACTTGGTTCTTGGTAACAGGATGGATACTGCGAAACACTACTGGAAGTAACACTATTTTATACAAAAAAGCACTTATGGATTTGCAGTATAAGGGTGATTGGGACCCACACGGACGCTTGAGACTCCAGACACAAAATTATGATTTGGTTTTACGTTATTCTTTTTTTCTTTCTTTATTATTATCAATAATTTAAGATTCCTTTTAAGCTTCCCAAAATCTCGAAGGCGAATTACGGTTGAATTTGACCTACTTTTGAGAGCATTTGAGGACTCCTATGGATTTTATGTCTCTTATTTTCCCCTTTACACTTTTTTTTTATTAGCTCTTTCTTGTGTTAACTTTGCTTTTCTTTATGCATACTATTTACATGAACATTTACATGAATGAATCACCTCCGAAGCCAAACGGTGAAAGGCAAGTAATCGTCTGAACTAAGGATATCACGTGACATATAATATTTTAAATATCTTACATCACACACATATACATATACCAACTTTTTACATATGAGCACAAAATCAACGCATCCGCCCCGTCGAACATAGAAATGTCAAAACTCCGCTGGAACAAGGGACTGGGTTTCCTGCCCCAATCAAAAACACAAGGGCCCCCCACAGCGGAAAATCTTGGACATGATCAAATCACTGACAAGTTTACATAAAATCTTAGCATGATCACATTATCACTGACAAGATTACATAGTAACCCGTAACCTCCCTCATGTGGTGTCCTCAGCCTCCCCGCGTGCCATGTCAAGACCGCTCGAGTCTTGAAGGTGAAGGAGACCCTCTACTGAAGGTGCCTCGTGTTCCCTGGTTAACACTGAATCACGGAGGATCCTTACATTATGCAGGTGCTTGAAATTCCCTGAATGGCTCAATTTTTTTTTTTTTTTTTTTATCATCTTATCTTCTGTAGATACATTATTATTTTTTTTTCTTTCTCTCTCTCTCTCTCAAAAAAAGCAAAAAACACAAGGGTGCTCTTTAAAATATCTGGGTTCCCTTATATCCCGAGATGCCCTTAGTCCTGGGTGTCCCTAATGTCCCTGGGTTCTTTTCATAAGCTCTGCGTGTCCCGAAATCCCGCCCTCAGGTGCTTCGTGCCTCCATGGGTGCCCAAAAACCCCCACAGCTGCGCCTAGAGTGCCAAGCTGAACACTCCCCCAAGGTGAGGGCCAATCCATATAAGGCAGGACTTTTAATACAAAAGGTCAAAACGTTAAATCCAAAGACCACAAGGATCCCCTAAATAATAACATTCCCCAGTAAACCAAGCTCTTCTCGTTAGTGTAAAACCAAAGTCCCTAAAATTCACAGTCATTAAAACATCCTAAGATTTTAGGAATTTACTTTAACTGGAGGCGTTTCTTGGGTCACTGTCTTCCCAACGTTTCTTCAAAGGGGCATCAAGAGTAATATACAAGAAAGAGTGGACGCTTCACCACGCTAGGTTTAACACAGGACTCGTACACTGTTAAAGCCAATGCTGTTTTTCTCTGTTATTTTTTTTCCAGTTTGACAAAGAGTGACCACTATATATTTTTCAATGATAAATCACCGATAATTTCTTGACAAACAATTCCAATTTTTGTGTTACCACATACATTTTTTTTTTGTCCGCTAATTGTGATGCAAAGTTGAATCCATTTTTAATGATTACTTTGGTGCAAAATGGAGCAGGAGAGAGGGGAGGGGCCTTGCTATCCCCACTCCACACTGATGGACACACACTTTGGTTGTGGACGAGAGATACAAAAGGTACCGCCGTCCACACAATTTAAGACTAACGAGTACAACAAAACCTGCAAGGCAAGGAGGAATGTGAAAGGACAGCAGCGAGAGACTCCAGCATCGCAGTCCGCCCACGCACTGAGGCTGCTCGGCAGCACAAACACTCGAGCTTTGGCAGGCAAATGGTTGTTCTTGTCGCGTGAGATTGACCTGGAGAACCTCTGTCTCCGTAGCAAATCGTAAACACTACTGACTAACTGCCTAGTCGTCAAAAACCAGAAGAAAAAGGTAACAAAGTGGTACTCATACTACATCTAACGAACAATGACTAAACCGACAGATAAAATGGAATGACATATCTCATTCTGCTCGTTTTTTTTTGATATTCATACAACCCTCACACAAGAGAGCTACAGTAGTGGTGACATTAAAATATCACAGATTTGATAGAACATTTGTTGTATGTTTTAAATAAAGCACTTGTAGGGGATATGGTACAAAACAAACATGAAGAAAAGCCACACTAGTCTTGTGGCCCTATTTACTCCCCTGCCCAGGTCCAGTGCTGCACTCTACCCCCAGGCACTGCTAGTCAGGGCAGTGCCGCCCCCACCACCGCCCTAGGGGGGTGGGGGCCTACGCCGCCCTGTGGGATCCACTAGCACCAGTCGTCCTCATCACTGTCACTATGTCGCTCCCCCTGGGCCCCCTTCCGCTGGGGCCCCGCCCCTCCCCCCCAACCCCAGGGGCGGGCAGCCGCGTCACTGCGCGGTCCCGCCCTGGCTTGTACCCGTTAGGCACTGCTGGTGAGGGCAGCTGACGCCGGGGGCCGCGCGCGTACGCAGCCGCCTGCTCGAAACTAAGGGGCTCTTCTGGCCGCCGCTCATACGGGTATTGGTCTCTAATGGGCGCCATGGGCGGCCGCCGGAGTGCACCTTGGGGAATGATCCCTTGCGGGGGCCCTCGGGGGCGAGCGCTCCCCTCTGTCACTGGTGGAGTCCTTCGCTCGCGGAACACCGGAGGCATTTCTAACTTGGGCACATGCGTAGGCGAGGCGTTCAGCTTGGGGAAATTAATGGGTTGAGATCTAGTGGGGGATTTCGCCCCTGGGAGAGTGTGGTGGCTGGGTCCCGCGTGGCCCGCGCCCTGGGGCTGGGGGCCCAGGTGGAGTGTAGAGGGTTTGTTGGGCGTGGCGGGCAGCCGACGGCCGCCGCCCCGCCGCTGCGGTATGGTCGGGTAGCTGGAGCCCGCCCGCCGGTGCGGCGACGGGCTGCGCGAGCGCCGGTCCAGCGAGGCCGTGCCGTAGTACTCCAGCGTGCGGCCGCGACGCGCTGCTGCGCCGGCCAGCCCCGAGTGCGGCGACGGGCTGCGCGAGCGCGCGTCCAGCCGCGTCGGGATGTAGTGGCGGTCCGGACTGTTGGACTCGGAGCGGATGTCCCTCACGCCCCAGGGCCGGGCCGGGAACGGCTCGCGGCGGCGGCTGGGGCTCCGACCCCGCACCGGAGACATCATGCCGAAGTCGTCGTGCATTTTGCCTGCAAGATAGGGCGGCGTTAGGCAGCGGCAGCCACGCCTCCTTCCGCACGACACAGACGCGCGTCATCAGGAAACTCGGGTTTTAGGAACTCTGAGACTGCCGTCATCTGACGACTTAATCTGAAGAACCTTTCAGAAAGGTGACCGGGTATGACGCGGGTCTGTGTCGTGCCCTGAACACTGAACAACGAGAAACGAGGAACAAAGCCTAGAAAGTGTCAGAAAGTAAAGTGCAGAAATGAAAAGACATAAATAAATAGATACTGGACAACTAGAAGAACAGTAATGAAATTGTTAATGGAAATACTGATAATAGTTGTAATAAAACAATGGCAATAATGACTGTGAAAAGAAACTGATAATATTAATAATAAAATTAGTATCCACTAACAGTAAAAAATAATATCAACAGTGAATATAACAATCAAAGTATTCATGATAATAATGATTCGAACAATATCAAATGACGAAATTAAACAGCATAAGTTTGCTATCATAGGAATAATATTAATAATCATTACTGCAACACCAATGACAAAGGAAGCACTTGCACTACAGCCAATACTATGGTGAAAAAAGACACTATCAAAGAATTCTACACTACAGGTGTCTAAAAGTCATAATAGGATACCATGACTGTTCAGAGGATTGCATGATCAACATCTGACGTTTTTGGAAAGCTTTTATTTGCAAGAAAGAGAAAAAAAAGCTGCACTGAATCATGTATATATATTTTTTTCTTTATAAATAGTTCAAATATATTTTTACGGTGATAATCATGCAGTATATGTAACTGCATGTTATTTATCATGAAGAGTGCATATGGTAAATAGTAATTAGATATTTATAGGAATATTTATCTACATGGTATATGGGCTGTTTTTGCATATGGTTTAATTTATGATAAGAAGAGAAAAGTGGATAACATGCCTAGGCATAGTCATAGGAGAAGCAGAGTTAGATAAAGAGAGAAAGGAGAAAAGGGAAAAAGAGAAAAAAAGACATGATGAAATTGGATAACAAGTACCAAGAGGAAAACGATAATGATAAAAAAGACAATAGGAAGAAGGCTAAGCAGAAGATGAAGAAAAATAGTAAGAAAAAAAGAGATTGAGAAGAGAAAGAAAAGAAAGTAGAACAATTAACTAGAAAATAATAATGTTTCTTTCTTTATCAAGACAGTAATTAAGATTCAGAATTCTTCGATAATGAAACCACCGCTCTTAGCAGCAACAGCCTTGTTAATAAGCCAATTATCATAATTATTACCCATCAGATGCTAATTCGAAGCAGGAGAAGAACAAACATCATGCCATAAAGAAAAGAATACAAGAAAATACGAAATAAAAGGAGGTCAAAAGGGAAGGAGAGGAGAGAGGTATCGTTAAACAAAAATTAAAAACGGAATTCAAAATGTCACTAACCTTTCCATTAGCACAAACACATCGACACATACAGGGTTTCCTCATGGTTCAAGGGGGTCGAAGCATATCAACAGGAGGATGTGTCCTATTCTTTAAAGCTACGATAGGAATAAATCACATTTCGTAGTAGGAAGATTATAAAAAAAAAGAAAAGGAAAAAAAAAAAACGTGATTTGAATATGGACCATCCGAAAATACACTTCAATTTTCCCCGAAAAACCTGATGGGTGACGTGTCAAGGAGTCTAGCTGATTAGAAAAAGAAAGAAAAGGAAAAGAAACTGTTTGTTTTTATTTATTTATTTATTTTTTGGACTGCGAAACAAGGAATCGCAGTCATTTTTTTACGACGAAGAGGAAAAAGAAGAAAAAAAAAAAACTACGTCAGTATTCCTCACTAGCTAATCACAACCTGGAACTCAATCGTGAAAACAAATGACACCTTTTTCGATCAAGCAGAGACCTTTACAATATCCAAAAAAAGGTATAGATATATAAAACAAATAAATATGGGTGCAGGCACAACACCGATGAGGAATAATGAACAATTTTTAAGCTCGTGGACTCCTTGACACGTCGTGACTTGTCTTAGACCGTATCCCCTAGCTACTGCGGGCATGAGTACTACCCTTGGGCATGGCGGGCCTTCCTATGCCTCAGTCGGGCACAGGGATCCTCATTCCACTGGGAAAATAGAGCTCTGACGTGAATATTTTTTCCATATGAAGAACAGATTCGTATGAAGTATATGTCTTTTTTCTTAATATGTATGAGTCGCTCTCTAACGTGAATATTCTTTTCTATATGAAGAACACATTCGTATGAAATATGTAGTACTTTTTAATATTTATGAGAGATTTGTATCATGTCTAAATGGAGAATTTGTTGTGGTAATACTGAATGACTTTCTTTTCTCCTACCGTTGTATGATTTACTATTTTATTTATTTGTTTATTTCCTTTTTTATGATGTTTTAGCGTATCTTCTCATCTTTTTTTCACTTAGAAAGAGCGACCCGAGTGGATTCCTTCGGCGGATCACGAGGGCCCCAGGGCATGGAAGGTCAGGAGTCCCCAGGGTGTACATCGAGAAAAGCTGGTAACTATGTCTGACGTTGGCACCACTGTTGCTCATACAGGTAAATAATGTTCTAAGAAACGGAAGGTATGGTTATTTTCTCTCTCTTCTAGTTCGTCAAAAGCCATGTTCTGGATCTATTGGCTTTGATAGTGTTTCTAATAATGTGTTTTAAGTGTGTAATTATATGTTGTATGGATTAAGCAGATTGCTTTTCATTCTCTCTAAGTGACAAGAAAGATATCCAATTGAATATCAGGTATAAAAAAGTGGTAAACGTCACCATACTTATAGCTATTCCGATTTTGTTTCTCCGTCGCCGAGACACCATTTTTTCACCATTCACAAACACCATCATTTGAAAATATTGCTTACTTGTTAATGATTAACTGTCCTTCTCTCTTTCCACTTCCTCTCTATCCCTGTCTCCACCTCACTTTCTCTCTCTCTCTCTCTCTCACCCCTCCCCCTCTCTCTCTTTTATAACAACAAATAGTCTTTGTCATCATTACGTGATTCTGAGAAAGGTTCTTAGCTATTTTCTGTCTTTTTCTCCTGATATCTCTAACATTGTAGTTCCCTCTTTCTCTCTCTCTCTCTTACACACACTCGCACACACACACACACACACACACACACACACACACACACACACACACACACACACACACACACACACACACACACACACACACACACACACACAGGGGTGAAAGTTCTGGTGCCCGGCGACGGGGGAATCCTGCCCGCAGTAGATACGTACCTCCAGCGCCCTGATGATGACCTCGCCTGGCTGCCCACATGACCTACCTCGGAGCCTACCTCGCTTGTGGCCGTGGTCGTACTTGACGATGTCCACCAAGTCGCTGACGGCGTCGCTGAAGCCTACGTCGTGAGGCTGGCCTGGCCTTCGGGGCGACGGGCTCCTCCTGTTGGGCGTCGGAGATCTTAGCCGTCTGGGGGTACATGACGTCAGGTTATGTTGGGTCAAAGCGAGAGGGGGAGGTCGGGCTGGGGTCGTCGCCGCGCCTCAAACTTACGTCTACTGTGCTTAAAGTACCCTGCAGTCTTAAGCTCTCGGCAAATTAGTCTTTTAAAACTCCGCTACAGTGGCTTGTACAGTGGCTTCAGCTGACCCTTCCAGCGGCGGTTGGCAGGCGGTCAGGTCAGCACAGAGGGCGCTTGGGCCAATGGGGGCTCAAGGACGGTGTTATATTTAGAAAAAAAATGTGATTCTTTGTAGTTTTCAAAGTTTAAGAGCCTTTAGAGTCAATATCAAAATCTAATGCTTACTCATAACTTATTGAAACTAAGAGAAACTAAGACACTAGAGGCAGATTAATCCTCTGGTAAACTTACAATCTACTTAGTCTTATAAATTACTTATCTTAATTGGAATACGTGAATTATCATACAAACTTAATTATAGAGATGTGTAACCAACTGTTTGGAAGTGTGTGCACGCTTAGATCGAAAACCAAAACCCTCATGTGTGCAGTCAGTGTGCGTGTGTGTGTGAGGCGCCCCGGGGAGGCCAGCGCGGGCCTCGACGTCGACTGACCTGTGCGGGGGCGTGGGCGACTGGAAGCCACGCGAGGGCGACGGCGAGCGCGAGCGGTACCGACTGACGGGGTACTCATCCGGCCGCAGGTGCCTCCCTCCGTCGTCCGAGGCCAGGGAGCCCCGTCGGGACGCCGCTTGCACTACCTCGGCCAGCTCCAGCCCCACCTTCAGGAGGAGGTCAGGTCAGCAAAGGTCATCCTACCACATTCGCTGTTCGCAGGCGTCACGCATCACACCGCAGGGTTGAGAGGGGGCGTTGGAGGGTGGGGGAGGAGGGAAGGGGGAGGGGGAGACGCTCTCAAAGGGGAGGGAGGGTAGGGGGGATAGGGGAAGACTGTCCTTTGGTCACCCCTTGGGCAGCGCGACCCGGCTAGGGCACGCGCCTGACTTTGGGGGCACTTAACACCAAATTCAGATTTCTCTCGTCCAAAACAGACAGAGAGGCGACTTAGAGAGTGAGTTTCGTGATGGCGCTGTGAAGCCTGCGAACAGCTGGTGGCGAAACGGGAAGGTATCTCTTAAAAGTATTATGGATAAATATTTGCATTCTTAATCTATATTATCCATAAGTAAATGCTTTAATTAAAAGGGGGAGAAGAAGGAGTTTATGTTAAAAAAGGGACCGTAAATTAACAATATTTTGTTGATCTGAAAGCTAAATGATTTGAAAACTATAATCGGACTGATTCCTAAATGCCAATACAAATTACAGCGTTTTCAGTATTATAATTTACTCCTTTCTAATGTAATAATTTCCGAAGGTAGCTGAATCGCGGAAAAATGATGAAAATACGAGAACGATAAGCATAAAATATTCTTTTTAAGATCAGCTGATCATAACGATAAGGAGAAGATATTCTTTTAGAGATCAGCTGATCACAACAGGATGAAATTCAGCCAATCAGATCATCCAGATTTCCCCCCCCCCAATTCGCACACAGCAAATACCGGAAATATCATTACATCAGAAAGTAGTGAAATAATGCAGCAGGTGGTGTATTAGACATACAAGCAAGAAATATACAGCTTTGCCTTAAAAATAAAAAACCGTGTGGCACTTATTCAAATACTTATCCAATACCAAGTGGCAAGGCAGCGGTGGTACTTTCGTGAACACTGAACAAATGTGAACAAATTATTTATTTGAAAAGGGGAATAAAGTACAAGGGGAAACAAAAAACGCTGCAATAACCACGTGGCAATAGACAAAAAAACTACCACTAGTCGTGACATAGGACAGTATGTACATTTTTTTTTCTTTTGTGTATTAAAAGAAAATTTTCTCTTGACATGAGGTGGCACTGAGAAAGACGTCTGTGACAAACATAACATGTTGGGACAGATAAAGATGATTTATATTTTTCGTCTACAGGAAAAAAGACAAGGATTAATAGGATTTTACTTTGTTTTTTTTCTTCTCTTCTTTTGCTTTTGGAAAAAAAAAATATATTGTATCTTAAGCTGCAACGTACAAGAGACTTAAGAAGAGTGAAAGTGGAAAAAAAGAGAAACACATTAAAAAGAATTGTGAAGATGTAATCATTTTGGTGTGTAGATAAATGTAAGGAGATGATGGTACAGTAAAAGTAGACAATATTAAAACCTAATACATACAACTGAAAAGAAAGGAAGGGAAAAAGAGGAGGTTAATAAACAACGATGGATAACAGAAACCAGAAAAATAGTGTCTATAAGAACAATTTTGGAAACCTTGAGCCCAGGTCAGACGAAAAGACCACCAGATAAAGAACAACTACGGAATAAAGAGGAACAGATTAATAACGGATAAACACGGTGTGGAAGAAAGGGAGTGAATAGATAAGGCAGAGAGGGAATACAAACAGACAAATCACGTTAGTAAAGAGGTTAACATCGCTAATAGAAGAACGAAAGGAGAAGAACACGAAGGGAGAATAACAAGGAAGGAGAAAGGAGAATAAGTACATTTTTTGGATTAAATTAATACACAGAGTTGAATCAAGGAACAAAAAAAGAATAAGATTATAACACATAAGTTACAGTCATGGTGTTAAGAGTATAGTGTTGATGATGTTGTAATTATAATAATAATGATACTGATGATAATAATAGTGACATTAATGAAAATAATAATGATAACAATACTAATGATTATGATGATAATGGTAATAATGATAACAATGATAATAATAATAATGATAGTGATAATTATAATGATGATGATTAATAATAAATAATAATATAATAATAATAAAAATAATAATAATAATAATAATAATAACAATGAATACTGATAAAAATAATGAAGAGAATGATGGTAATGAAAGAATAATGATAATGATAATAACAATCATGATAATGATGTTAAAAATGATAACATAAATGAAAATAATACAAGTAATAATAACAGCTATGATAGTAATGATAATAATCATAATAGTAATAATAATGATAATAAAAATAATAATACTAACACTGATAACATGATAATGATAACAATAATAACAATAATAATAATAATAATGATAATAATGATAACGATAATAGTACTAATAATGGCAAAAAAATATGTTGATGCTATCATAAATAATAATAACAAAAAAATAATTATGATCATATAATAACGATTTTAAATTATATAATGATAATGATACTATTAATAATGACAGAAATGATAAACTACCAATAATGACATTGATGATACTGTTTCGAACAAAACAGAATGCAAAGAAGAATACAGTAGATTCAACAGTAAAGAAAATAATGATACAGTAGAATAAGGTAGACAAAGAAGAACAAAAAAAATGCAGACAGCAAACAACAGGGTTAGACAGACAAAGTGATAGATAGACAGTTGAAATAGACAATGCATTAAAAAGTAGACAATAGTACTAGTAAAGATACCACATGTACACTGAGCTATGTTACAAATACCTCACAAAAAATTTATACAGGAGAAAACACTCAGGATAGTCTTGAGTTAATAACACAAGGATACAAAGTCTTATACTACATAAGCTTTTTGAATACACTAATACCGTAGCACCTGCATTATATATTATAAGGTATGATATTGTCTTAACACCTATGTTTTATAATGTAATTATGGAATATATACCATTTGACTGAACACTTGGCAGTGGTAATGAGAAATATATGATGATGGTGAAACATTTCAATGATGATGGAATGGGATTAACAAAATCGTAAATGAGAACAGAATAATTGCAATAACGATGGATGTGTTAAAAACAATAGTTGTGATTACATTTGAATAATAATGATATTAATGCTGAAATAATAGTAAGCTTATTGAAATAATGGCAACCACGTTAAAATTATACCAACAAAAACGACCGTAGTAACAAAAACAGTAACAATAACAAAGGAAGTGATAACAAAACATGATAATAACAAACAAACAAAAATAATAACAATAATGCTAAGAATGTAACAATAATAGAAGAAAAACTATAATCAGAACACTAAAAATGATACCAATGATACTGATTATGGAAACAATCTCTATCACAAATCACCTTATGGTACTATTAATAATGGTAATTACAGTTCAACAACATTATATCAACAACAACACAAAAAACAACAAAAATGCTAATATTAATAACACCGACCTTAAGTTGAACTCAAAAAAACTACAGGAAAAATGTGTCAAGCGTAGCAACAATAATTTTCCATAGAGACCCATTACAAAACTGTCATACACACATACAGTTTACAGAATAGTTTAGCACTACATCGAGAATATTGAAGAATTGCAGGTGACTGAAGTTAACGTTGAGACATGAAGGTTTCGACAAAATAGTTTCAGAGATTTTTGTATTTTTTTTTTTTTAAACACGAATAGAGGTTTTTAAAAAGTGTAGGATTTTTTTGCCTATGAGAAAAGAACATTCTGATCTTTTTCCTTCTAAATCTGGTATCCATTTTCTGGGGATTACCATGTATAAAAATTGTTTTTATTTTGTCCTTCCATTTTTGGTTTTTGTAATTTAGGGATTCATTTGTGTATTATAAAACAGACCTATTCTTGTCAACGTGTAACTCAAGTCCGCTGCTTAAGTCTACAAAAAATAGTTACATCTCATCTTAACAGCATTGAAAACTACATTTCTATCACGCTATTCATAAAATGTAAAGCTAGAATTACATATGAGGACTAGGCCATACAGGGGGTTGGGGGTGGCTGGTTTCTAGTTTCTCTAATAATACCATTGTTTTCAGAAAACCCATTTTCTAGTAGGTAGTAGCGCGTAGCACACTACCCTTACTACTGTCTACATTACGTCCAGCATCAGTCTATGTCAAACTTTCAGGGTAGACTAAGAATCTAAATTTACCTAACCTATGTCCTCGCGTTTCTAAATTTTCTAAACTCTACTAGTAAAACTTGTGAATATATCTTGTTCATAGAGACACTTTTTCGTTCTCTGCCCAGGCAATATACAGGAATCTCATAAAATCTAGGAAAACATTTTTGAAGACTAATAATTTCATTCTAGAACCGACAGGAGAAGAGTGAAGCATCACAAAGATTCTAGAAGACAATAATTTGTGACGTCGAAAACTGACAAAGAGCTTTAGATGTCCCGGTCAAATTTGCTTACATTAGTGACGGGAAGGTGTCTCGAAGGGGGGAATGAGGGAGACGCAGAAGAGGAGAAAGGGAGGGAGAGAAAAAGGGAAGGAGGGAGGGAAGGGGCAGCAAGGGTAGTAATACAAGGAAGAATATTATTTAAAAAACTCGTATCACTTAGGTATGAATATAAGTCAGAACATCCAAAGCTCGATGGTTAATTGCCACAAATATACGAAACACTAGGAAATAGCAGAAGAGACTTTTCAGCTCAAGAGAGTCCACAAGAAAGTTGAAACTAAGTCGAACGGATACGTGAGAAGTCGAAGAGAGAGTCGGGGTCAGGGAGTCGAAACGCAACACGCAGGTTCGGGATCGTCAGCATCCAAGCCTCAACTCGCGACCTGTAACAGCTCCGGGGCTTCGAGGGCGACCACGGAGGCCCAACGGTCGAACTCTAGACTAAGTTAGTGTTATTTGTGTCGATTTAACAACCATATATACTCACAGTGTAAGATATATACGGTATATCTGCGTTACCTTAAATATTTTTCTACTGAACACATCCATTTGAATAAAGTAGGTCATAAAACGTACCAAATGTATTTTAAATGCATAAATATTCCTCGCAAGTGTGTTTATATTTTTTGGAAGAACGCACAAAAGTCATTTGAATACTATCTACATACTTCCTAATATCCATGTCCATACAACAGTTAACTATATCTACTTTTGCACGTAATCATAATTAAAATAAAAGAAAAATCTAATCTACTCAGTTAACTGCGTAACTGCCAAAAGATATCTCAATATCTTTTCCATTTACTAATCTATTTTACTATCTATCTCTATCTCTATCAGTTAATCTATCCTGCTCTATATTGTCATTATACTTCTCTCATGCCTCACTAACTCTATTTTTCTCATTGTTTTCATCTATGTCACTATCTATATTTTTTTTCAATACACAGATATCTCTACTATCTTCTGTATAGCTATCTTAACTGTCTTATCTATCTATCTTTTCAACCTATTCGATGAGATAAAAAGCAAACTGAAAGAAAAATAACAAACAAACTGACGAAGACTGATTACTAATTTCTACATCAAGTCATCCACCTTCTCTCCACTTCAGCTTTTTCTTTACCTACACACCTGCCGTAGATGCCGAGACGCTGTATTCTCGTATGTCGATGCAAATACACACCTGACGCAGATAAATGAGACGCTAAATAATCTTTTGGAGACGTGAACTACACACCTGGTGCAGGTCAATGAGACGCTACATACTCTCTGGTCGATATAAATCTACACACCTGATCGTAGATGTCCGCCAGTAACTCTTTATCGAAGGTAAACTCTACACCTGGTCGTAGATGCCCGACAGTGACCCTTATCGCAGGTAAACTCTACACCTGCACGTAGATGCCCGACAGTGACCCTTATCGCAGGTAAACTCTACACCTGGCTTAGATGCTGAGACCCCGAGCCCAGTGAGTGTTCTCGTACCACTCTCCTCTCCCTGCGGATAACACGGCTGCCTCCCCATAACCACGTCGCCACCACGCTCGGAACCCCACTATGTCACCAGGGGTATGACGGGTTAAGGGATAATCTAGATCGGTTTGGGATTAGGGGACTGCTATTCTTTGTATTAGGCTAGTCAAACGATGGATTTGGTTTAGGTATGGTTAAGTTGTGGTTTACTCTATTGGTGTTTTAGTTGGATGTGACTAAAGAAAAAATTAGATGATTTTATAGATGGTCTTATCTTTTGCAAGTGATATTCAGTCCTTTATCTTGGTATGTGTACAATTCCTAGCTTTGGATATGCGAGGAGCAAAAAACTATTTAGAAATTAACTTTTGAAAGCTAAATCAAAAGAATTCTCTGCACAACTGACTGTTCTAGTGTTATTAAAGTATGTTCTAAAATAAGCATAGGCAGATTAGTTGCTAAAGACCCGATGTCTATCAAAACGATGTATAACAGCATGATCTTGTATCTATACACTATAAATACACCTCAAAGTATGCTACCCAACTACAAAAGTCGCAAAATTATCTTTTCAATATTGTCCCGATTTCTATCCCTTCTCAAGACTGCTCATCCCCAGACATCCTCCAAGGCGTCCCTCTAGAGTCCCTCCCAGTCCCTATCGCGTCCTATCGAGGTCCGAGAGTGTCGCGAAGCGGGGCCGGGGGGCGCGGGACGAGCCATGCGGCATGTAAACAAGGTGACGCCATGCAACGCGAGGACAGCTAGCACCAAACCTGGCAGCTGCCAACACTCGACCCCTCCTGGTCACTACCACGGGTTGGGGGCTCACCACCGCCTCCACCTAACAACGTCAGGGACTTAACCGACCCTTTGTCACTACCAAGTACATTGTCTATGCTGCAAAAACGGAGAAGATTGAGAAGGTTGAGTGTTTATGTACATGGTGGAGTATCGCAGAGTATCTCACACAGGAGGTCCACACAACCACCACCTTCACCCACCAGACTTTTCCCCACTTGATCTACGGTTACGATGTCTTTGAACACACGTCCATCGCCCAGGATGAACGAACCATGAGAACCCCAAATCAAAAGTCCGGGCGAAGGTGGTGACTGTTTCACAATTCAACATCAAAGATATAGTCCACTGTATAATCATGATATATCAGTCAACATCTTGCAGAACAGGCGTCCCTCGCTATGATTGCAGGGGGTCGAGGCCGAGCTGAGTCTCCGACGCCCTACCTTACGTTGGACTGCGAGAGGCTGCCCTGGCGACTCGGCTGCCCCTGGGAGTCCATAGGCTCGTGTTGCTCGTCGATGGAGCGGGAGAGGCTGATGCGGGACTCGTTGGTCTTGGGGGGCGCGGCGGGCGCTGCTATGCCCATCAGCCGCGCAAACAAACTGGGCTTCTGTGGTGCCACCAGCGGGGGGGTCAGGGGGGGGTCAGGAGTTCGAGACAAGGAAGCTCAGGTTGGTCTGAATTCAGCCGCTCTTTTTGTCACAAACACTCAAAGGGCAAGAGCTAAAGTTAAGTTAAGGGCTGCACTAGCTTGATGCTTTCTTTTTCTAATTAATTTGAAACTTGATATGCAAAACACAATTGAATGTCAATATTAAAAACATTTACTGGATAGAGAAAGAACACAGAGTAAGTAAAACAACAACAAAATAACATAACATTAACAGCTTCCATATTTCGAACTGCTATAAACATCGATTTGAACAGCAGGATTTATAATATAAGTTGCGAGTGATTTATAAACATCAACAACAACAAGAATAAAGAAATCAATTGAATGCGGGATGATAGAGGAAGAAGGAAGTGAGCGTGTTGTGGGATGACAGTAATAACCCACAAAACTGGCAATAAGGTCGAGTCTCCCATGCCATATTACATGTAAACTCGCCCTCCATTGAGTCGACTCATTCGACTTTGCCACATGCTCCTAAAAATATACATATATATCACCAACTACGGAATAGGAGAGACAAAAAACCGAAAAAGGGAAAATATATGTAAATAGAACAATTAAAAATGAATATTTAAGGTTTAAAGTTTAAGTGCTTTGTTTAGTTATATATTTCCTATTTGTTCTCACTTGAAATCTACGTTAATTCCTTTCGATCTGACGGAAGGGTATGATATAAAAAAAAATCGAAAAAACGAACACGTGCCATAGTCATTTGCGTCGAATTCTTTTTTTGTTTGTTGGTACCGTCACCCACTTGCACTCTCGCTTGTTATACTGATATCATCTTCATCGTTTGTTATGTAAAACACCGTTACACACAATGGGTGAAAAGCTCAGCACGAAAGGAATAAATTGAAAAAAAAAAATTATACTGTATGTAAATAAACCAAAAAAAAAAAAAAAAGGAAAAAAAAACTTGTCCCAATATTACATAGATTTCTTAGTGCCTTGTTTCAATTGTATATATATGAATTATTTAGCAGATGCATGGTGGATACTTTTTAAAATGTTTCTAGACCACAGTCACTATCAAGGAGTCAATCACTATTAAAGATCACATCACTAGTTTACGGAATCCGGAACCATCGCCCAAGAACTTTTTATATCTTTGTTTCATAATTCTTCCAGTTGATATAGAAAAATAAATAAAAGAGAAGAGAAGACGAAATGAAAAGACGGGAGACCAATTACCGAAAGATTCTCAAAGATCCTCCACATTGCCTTTGTGATTATTCCTCCTCCTCATTACTCCTTCTCCTCTTCCTTCTTCTCTTTCTCCTTCTTTCCCTTGGGCGATGGTTGGCGGTGTAATGAACACTAACGTGGGGGCGGGCGACTGGCATGCGAGCCTCTAGAAGTTGGCCTGTCGGAACCTGCGTCTAAGGCCTTGTGAATTTCCATGATCATTTTTTGGGTCAAGGTTTGAAACGCAATCCGTACTTATTTACAGAAACACGCGTACATGTTACACCTATTTGCTTCGGGACAACCTGGTGGCGTCGGAGCAAAGAGGTGACTAAAATGATAATATTAATGAAAAGAGAGGGAAAGAAAAATTAAAAAAAGACACATGGAGTTCCGTGTTCTAAGACGCAGGTTCCGCCAGGGATCGCGTGTCTCCATTAGTGAGGAGGCACCAGACATATAATGGAACCCTCTTGGAGAACCTCATACACATCTTGGATTGGAAGCAGTTCTTTTCACAGCCTTGCAGCGGGTGTTCAATGGAGTTCTAAGACAGGTTCGCGTCCGGGTCTGTTTATGCCAAGGTCAGGGCGGTCTCCTGGCATTGGTCTGACGTGGTCTAGCGTTGCTTCTGTGACCAAGGGACGGAGCCACGAGTTTGGTCAAGGAATAGCACTGGAAGCTACGGAGAATACCGCCCTGGGAAAGCCTTTTTTGTGGCGACAACTAGTGTATTGGCTTACTGGCTTACTGCAGACTTTTTTTTTCGTAAATGATAGACTTGGCTGTGAGCTTTACTCGCTGATCACGCTGTTCTCAGGTGCGAGTTGGTTATTGTGACATCATATGGTTCTTTAAAAGACGATCAAATGCCACACAGGTTTGACATCAAGGAGTCCCTTTTGATACAAATCACAATCTTTCCAAATGATATTCATATCTTTTAAGACATCCTTATTTTACGATGTTAAAACAATTCGGATAAACACTAGTTATATTTTCTTTGTTATAAGAATGAAGCCAAAAAAAGAAAAAAAGGGCTACTTTTCGATGATCAGTCTCCAAGGTCTAACTTTACTTGCATCTTTAAGCATTCTCAAACCAAAAACTCAAAAGAAGCTGACGCAACCAAGAAAAAAACAGACCCGGAACATCTACCGTTCCTGGATACGTTTTTTGGCCAGTGGGAGGAGCGGCACACAGGTTATGCAACAGAAAGCGAGTTCAGTGTTGGGTGTACGTGGTGCGACTGGCAGACGGAACCTCGCTGTGAAAGCCCCGGAAAAATTAGCAGAATTTGGGGGGAAACGCTCAATTCTTTGTTTTCACTGTATTTTCAGATAAACGAATGGGTTTCTTGCCTAATATTCCTTTTGCTGTCCTTGTTTTTGTTAATCTAGTTGGTAAGTAACGGCCACACTGTGTTACGAGTGAGGCTCAACCATGAATTCCTCAAGGATTAGCCAGCAGAGGCACAGAGGTTGGGATCTTGCCCAGTCACACCACATACGCGCAGAATATGCATAACGCCATACTCTTCACTTTTAAGTAGAACAAACATGAGCAAAAAAGTAAGATTTTGATGGTAAGATTATTAAAAGAAAATTAAGATATTCTCAAAATACTACCGCATCTATCGGGGAGTCTGGTGCTCTTTCCTGCAAATGAAACAACAAGACAAGGTGTGTCACTCACTACTACAGGCGCCAAGTACTTTCATACCAGGTACCAAATTATTATCGTCAAGTCGAATTCACTACCCAGTATATCGGAAAATTTGTCACATCAGATAAAAAAAGGTGGGAGGGAAGCATATACACCCGCGGTCACTCAAAATGCTGTCGAGACTCGTTTAGCCGAGGCAAGTGTGCAGTCGAGCACCGATAAAAGGCTGGGTAGTAATAGCAACTATTTTCTTCACCTCTTGCTCTGGAGGAGAGTCGGAACAGCGCTCTGAGTGGCCGCAGGTGTATGACACATAGAAACACTCCTCCATCAGGATAAATCATCATGGTCTTATCATTTTTTTGGTTGGAATATATGCTCTCTCATTCAACAAGGATAGTGAAACGTGAACAGAGTGGGAGTGGTCGACTCAAAGATGGAGAGGTACCGGGTGTAACAACGACAGAAGGTCAGCAGTGGTAATTGCACTAGGTCAAACAAGGGGGACACAGCTACCTCTACTCAGCTTCCATTCAACCATTGTTCCTGTACTCAAGACTGTACTTTTTTATCTTTTTACCTTTTCATTTTGGTAAAGGGTAAAGGGAGGGTTAGGGCTAAAGGGGAGTCCTATTTTTGATGATATATATTTTTTTCTCCCTCTGGTTTTGATCCTTAAAAGAAAAAAAATCTTTCTCTCCTTCTTCGGTGACATTTCGCTTGGTCTGATCCCGTCGCTTGGGGGGAAATCTGCAAAACTTTCGCAGGAGGCTAAATGTCTGCAAAATTTCCCCCCCCGTCTTGGCGACATTCATTATAAGCAAAGAAGGTAAAGAAAGAGCGGTCTGTGCTCTTCTGCAAACAAAAAAACAAAAACAAAACAAAAAAATTCCTCGTGGATTTGCCAGAGAGCAAAAACAATGGTTGATGCAGCTTGTTCATGGATTCTTATTTTGCCGGAATTATTTCTCTGCCTTGGGACACGAAAAGCAACATTGCAGAGACAATATCAAATAACATTTCCTTCTTGGGTCATAGTAGTAGGCCTACCCGTGAGAAATATATCCAAAAAAAGACGAATATATCTCCACGGGTATACTAAAAGATCCCTTCTCGTGATTTGATAATATAAACATGTGATAAAGTTTTTGTTTTTTTTCCCGCGTCAAAATTTAAAAATCCAATCAACAAAAGAAGACCTCCAGAACAATTTTTACTGAGCAAAAAATAATGCCATGGACAAAACTGGTGGTGGGGGGGAGAGGGAGTGGAGGGAAAGGAAGGAGGAAATGGAGAGGGGGAGAGGGGTAGACGGGGACAAAAAGGAGAGGGAGAGGGGATACGGGGGTGGGGGGGGGGGGGAGTTGTGAAAGGGGGCGCTGTCTAATACTAACAAAGAACGCTAAATCACCATGGCTCAATAAACACACAGAAAAGACACGCACACACACATGTAATAAATCTCATATCACAGTCCTACAAACATGATCATCTATGTTGTGGAAACTATGTGGCTCTCACTGCAAAGATAAAACGGCCACAGTAAACAGGTGGCCACTATAAAGAGGTGGTCACTATAAAGAGGTATCACTATACATGTACGGACAATAGGAGGGGATACTTGTAACCTGGGTCTGTATCCCCTTACAAAAAACAAAAAACAAAAACAAAAAACAGAAAAATCAAAATGGGACAAGAGGTGAAGGGACAGGTATGGGGTTAAACATTGCAAAGTATCAACAGATCCATGTGAGATGGTAAACAGGATAGGTGTAGTAACATGGCCTAAATATTATCCATGTGATAAAAAGTACTATGGTGCCACTATGTAAAAAAAGAGATAATATAGGTTATAAATTCATCAATGACCATCGTAAGCTTAATTCTACAAAAAAATCGTCAAATGTATAAAATTTCTATTCGGAGGTCATAGCTACACACTCGAGCATCCTAGAGCAGTACCTTGAGTACATACTTAACCTAACACTCAGAACTGGCAACACGTAACATTGTAATTTTGTCTCACGTGCCAACATTCTTGCAAGAATCACTTGGAGATACACCTTAAAAAGCGGGAAAGCTTAAAGTATCGAGTACCGATCCCAATGTAACGCCTCACAAACGGGTAATTGTGAACGTGCGATAAGGAGACAAGTGACTCTGGGCGAATGCAGGCACTGGCCTTCCTCTCCAACTGGGCATAGCAACAGAATTTTCAAGTGTTGTATAAAGGTACAACCAGATACTCACCATCAACCTTGAATGCTCCAAATTCTTAACAGAGCCGTGAATTGGAGAAGATTCAAACTTTGATAATAAGCAAACTGTCTTACCCTTACACAACTGCCTGTTCTTCTGGACTTAGTTCTACAGGTACTGCCAATAAAAACCATCAACGTGTTCTACTTGTCCTGGTAATCTAATATAATACCATTAAGCTACTGGTACACAAGTCCCAGTACCATATTAAGCTACTGGTATACTAAGTCAGCCAACAGCAAGGTGTCTGTACCAAATATGGATCTGCTAACGAAGCGGTGTTACTCAGTGGCTAAAAGGCATGTTTGTGTGGCACAGATACAACCACTTTACGCGGCTCAGAAAACAAACGCGTCACACTGAAAGCTCAAATATGGAAAACAAAATATTCCCACCCAAAGCTTAGAAACTTGATGAACACTAAGGTTGAAAATCGAAATTCTATTTGGCAATTACAAAAAAAAAAAAAAAAAAAAAAAAAAAAAAAATTGAAGAGGGAGTAAAGATTATTTTGAAAACCGAGTAAAAATAAAAGTATCTGCATTTACCACCAAAACATGCCAAAAGTGAACAAGGCACTTCATTGTTTTCATGGAGAATACTGGGCTGAATGTCAGCTATGTAAAGCCTGAGGAGCAAGGCTGGTTTTTGCGCAGCCAGTGGACGGCTGCAGTCAACATGGGCCAAAACTATTCTGGGACGAACGACTTTTGTCAGTGCCAAGATACTGTAAACATCGAGTGGGCGGTGATTAAAAGTACTTCATGAGGTGACTAAAATAGATCTTATAGTATCAGGATACTGTATATATATATGTAAATATATAGGGTTGAGTTCATATCAGCTATTTTATATCTGAAGTGAAAAAAATATAGGGACGTGTATATATACTGTATGCTTTATACCAACTATTCTCGTTAGTCAAGTGGGTGGGAAGCAGGTACTGGTTGAAGCACAATGATCTAGGCCACACAATGAGTGTAACAGGCCTTATAACAGCCGTCTTACTGATTCGGTTTCCTGCTCCTCAGTTTCCCCTGTATCCTCAGTTTCAAAAGTTTCCTCCGTTTTCTCTGTTTCGAAGATTTGGTTCTCAGCTTTTTCCATATTGCTGAGGAGCTGTTCTCCCTCCCCGCTTAAAATGTCCTCCGTTGACTCAAACTTTTCATCCTCATCATCATCCTCCTCCTCCACTATCTCATTCTCTTTATCTTTTGCTTCCTCATTCTCATCCTGCAAGGTTTTGAAGAGATTTCTTATACATCTACCTCCTAAAGTCTTAAACTTAAAAAAAAGAACCCTTTAGAGCTCTAGAAGATATAATGTTGAAATGAAAATGAGAGAAAAAACGAGAAAAGAAATTTTTCCATTAATGAACCATGTCGCAATCAGGGCATTCCATCATTCCATGACAAAAAAAAAAAAAAAAAAAAAAAAAAAAAAAAAAAAAAAAAAATTACGGAGAGGTTTACACAACCAACAACAAACTCCCTGATTGCAACATCACAAAACGCAAACCTAACATAAAAAAAAAACAAAGAACTCGGAGAAAAGGTCAGCTACATCCCCAGGCAGAGGAGAGAGAGAGAGAGGTAGACAGAGAGAAAGAGAGAAAGAGAGGAAGAGAGAGAGAGAGAAAGAGAGAGAGAGCACATAGCACTGACCAGGCCTCCCGTTGGTTGGATTTGGCCGAAGCGAGTCGTGCGCCAGTTCTCCAGGATGAGGAGGGCACCGTAGATTTTACCCACTGTGAGTTTCTCGTATTTGAGTTCTGCAAGAGAGGAGTGAGGGTGAGTATATTGCATATTTTGTATTTTTCTATTTTCTTATTTTGTATTTTGTGCCTCGTATTTGAGTTCTGCAAGAGAGTGAGGGTGAGTTTGCATGTTTTGTAGTATTGCATATTTTGTATTTTTCTATTTTCTTATTTTGTATTTTTCTGTGAGTTTCTCGTATTTGAGTTCTGCAAGAGAGGAGGAGGGGTGAGTGTTTTGTATTTTTCTATTTTTCTATTTTCTTATTTTGTTGTTTGTTGCTTCTGTTGTTGTTGTTGTTGTTGTTGTTGTTGTTGTTGTTGTTGTTGTTTTAACTATCATTATTTTCATTATTATTACTGTTATTGTTATTGTTATTATTATTAATATTACTATTATTATTATCATTATTACCTTTATTATTTTCTTTGTTATTATTATCATCATCATCATCATCATCATCATCATCATCATTATTATTATTATTATTATTATTATTATTATTATTATTATTATTATTATTATTATTATTATTATTATTATTATTATATTATTTCATTATATATTTTTTTGGATGGGTGGAGAAATATTAATATCATTTTTTTTTTTTATAAGAACATTCATCCACATTTTTTACATTTGATGAAAAGGAAACGTTGGTATGGTTTATCACCACTTTAAAAAATATCTGTGAACATTCGTAAGAAAAATAATCAAACACAATAAACACAATCTATAACACACACAACAATCAGATTCAACGATTTCCACTTTCTCACTTCTCCCCCCTCCTCCTTACTCCCTTCCTCTATCCCCTACTCCCCCTCCCCCACCTCCCTTTCTTATTCCTTTCCCTTTCCATTTCAACCCTCTTTCTCTTCTCACTCCCCCTTCATCCTTCCCCTTCCTACCCTCATCCCCTCCCTTCACCCTTTCCTCCCCTCCGCATCCCTCCCCTTCACCCTTCCTTCTCCCCTCCCTTCACCCTTCATCCCTCCCTTCCACTTCCTACCCTCTTTTCCCTCCCTCTTCACCCTCACTCCCTCCCCTCCCCTCCTACACTCTTCTCCCTCTCCTTTCCTACCCTTCCCCCCCTCCCCCTTCCTCCTCCTTCCTACCCTCTTCACCCTCACTCCTCCCTCTTCCCCTCCCCCTCCTCCCCACCCTCTTCCCTCTTCCCTCCCCCTACCCTCTCCCCCTCCTACCCCCCCCTCCTCACTCCCTCCCGCCCTCCTCCCCCCTCACTCCCTCCCTCACCATCATCCGGAGGCACGATGAAGTCCAGATTCTTCTTGGCTTGGAGGGGCCACAGTTTCTTGATGGTGGCCCTGAGCTCCATGTCCGCCTGGTCCATCTCCTCCGCTGGTCTCATCTTGATACACAGGTTCTCGCGGATGAGGGCGAAGAGTGTGGTGGTGAAGTGGACCTGAAAGTGGTGAGAGGTGTTTTAGGAATGCTGCTACGGAGATGGATCTGAATGGTGATGGTAAGATGTAAAGTAGATTGTACTAAGAACCTTCTCTGTTTGTTTTTTTATTCTTTTTTATTTTATCATTATTATAATTATTTTTTTAATAGAAATACGTGTTTTTTAAGGGTGAAGGAATCTTGTTTTATTTATTTATTTATTTATCTATTTTAAGGGTGGGTTTGTGATGAGGATGTTATGATCATGAAGTATTTTTTAGGAATGCTGCCTCTCCACCCTTCTAGAAATACGTGTTTTTTATGATGAAGAAACCTCACAGGAATTTTCAATCTTTTTTTATTGAAACGATGCGTTAGTGATGATAAATTTATCGTGATTATGATGAAAATGTGGCGGTTCTCTCGCTGTGGAGACGCGTGGATGATAATGATGATAATTAGTTGTAGTAAAGACAATGGATGAAGGAAGGAAGAATCACGAAGGAAAAAAAACGCATTATGAAATATTTGATTCTGAATCCATGAGTAAGTGAGTTTAAGGATCCATAACCACGCCAACCACACTCACCTTCCCCTCATCATCCAGCGGCATGTTCATCCGTATGAGTTTCTTATAAGCCAATCGATATGGACACTTGTTGCCGAAGCCTAACGGTGGGTCCATGTTTCTTAGCATGTCGTACATTTCTGTGTAGTGTATTCTTCCTCTGCAAAAGGTCGGCGGGGTTAATATCCGTCTTTCATGTAGTTATATGTGGGTAATATCTCTGTATTTATGTGGTTAATATATTTTATATGTGGGTAATATCCGTGTTTCTGTGTATTTATATGTGGTTAATGTCTCTCTGTGTATTTGTATGTGGCTAATGTCTCTCTCTGTATTTATATGTGGGTAATATCCGTGTTTCTGTGTATTTATATGTGGGTAATATCTCTGTATTTATGTGGTTATTGTCTCTCTCTGTATTTATATGTGGGGAATATCTGTCTTTCTGTGTATTCAAATGTGGGTAATAACTGTCTCTCTGTGTATTTATATGTGGGTAATATCTCTGTGTATTTATATGTGGTTAATATTTATCCTTCTGTGTATTTACATGTTGTTAATATCTCTCTGTGTATATATATGTGGTTAATATCTGTGTGTATTGTGGGTAACTGTCTCTCTGTGTATTTATATCTGTCTCTCTGTGTATTTATATGTGGTTAATATTTATCCTTCTGTGTATTTACATGTTGTTAATATCTCTCTGTGTATATATATGTGGTTAATATTTCTGTGTATTTATATGTGGTTCATGTCTCTCTGTGTATATATATGTGGTTAATATCTCTGTGTATTTATATGTGGTTAATATCTCTCTGTGTATATATGTGCTCTGTGTATTTATGTGGTTAATATTTCTCTGTGAATTTATATTATCTATGTATTATGTGGCTACGGTGAAAGATAAGTATGTGAAGTTCCTGGAATTCTGTGAAAAGAGAGTTGTATATTTACGTAAAACGAAATGTATATAGAATGAGTAAAGTAACACAGAACACATGTAATAATGGACGAATGTTAAAGATGAAGAATGTAGATTCGTCTGAAATGAACGTTTTTTTTTTAATTACAGCGAGGAGATCTGCTTCAGAACAACTGCTAAAAGAATGGTAAATGTTCTGAAAAACATTGTAGATTATAAATGTGGTTAATAATTATATATATATTTTTTTTTATAATGTCGAGAAGAAATACCTTCCCCCCAAAAAAAAAAAAAAAATAACTAAATTAATACTAAGAACACTCGAAATTCAATCAATAAAGTTTATTATCTATTCATCTATTTCATCTCTATCTATCAAGACATCGAACTTTTACGACCCAAACACCCCCCCCCCTAAAAAAAGAAAAAAAAAAACGAAATCCAACGCTATCCCGACGACCCCTACAAAAAAAAAAAAAAAAAAAAAAAAAAAAAAAAAAAAAAAAAAAAAAGTGAACGCCCCCTCCAAGCCGTAGGAACCGAGGCCACGCCCCCCCCCCCGGAAGGAACCCAATCTACTCACGCTGGCGTTTGGATCATATTCCGCCCATATTCTGATGTATTCGTCCAGGTGATGGGCGCCCAAGATGGAAGAGTCTCTGGTCAGGTAGTCGAAGTTGTCCATGATGACAGCAACGAACAAGTTTAACATCTGGTGAAAGAGGAGGGCGGTTACGAAGGGGGGATCTTGGCTAGAATGGATTCATTTTTCTTTTGTTTTCATTTTATTGGTATTGTTGTTTTTTATTCTATACTCGGAGACCTTTATTTCTTTATTTATTTATTATCATTATTATTATTTTTAGAAAAGTATGGGAGCCCTTACGAAAAGCTTACCGTCTGAATTGAGAGGGATTTGTATATGTACATACAAAAATCCAGTCATTCACTCACTCACACACACATACATACACACACACACACACACACACACACTCACACCCACTCCCAACCCAACCATAAACCCCCCCTTCCACCCACACACTCACACACACACATACATACATACATACATAATACACACACACACACACACACACACTCCCCCCTACTCCCAACCCAACCCATACTCCTCCATCCCCCCCCCCCTCCACCCCCCAATCCCCCCCCAACCCAACCCCCACCCCCCACCAACGTACCAAGAAAGAGCAGAGGAAGATGAAGGTCACGAAGTACATGTAGGCGACGTTGGAGCCGCAAGTCTTCATGGAGTTGTTCTTGAGGGCGTCGGGGTCACAGGGGCGCCCCTTAATGCAGGACAACATGATGCTCTGCCACGCCTCACCGGTGGCGCATCTGCCCACAGCATCAACAGGTTACTCGAGATCTTACTCTAGGGACTATTTCTCCCTGTCTCGCCTACTCTTACTCTAAGGATTGTGTGTATCCTTGTCTTGCCTACTCTTAGACTAAGGATTGTATATCCTTGTCTTGCCTACTCTTAGACTAAGGATTGTATATCCTTGTCTTGCCTACTTTTACTCTAAGGATTGTATATCCTTGTCTTGCCTACTCTCTGCACACAGCTCACAGCCCGTGGTATGTGGGCGTGAATTCTAGGACAGATCTCTCGTCCTTAAGGATGAGAATTGCTGTGATAAATGATGAGAATTGTTGCTACCTTAAAAGCACAGGGTTGTGATAGTCTACTAGTCTATTGCTAAGTTGCTACTTCTAGTCATGGCTATAACTGACCATTTTTTTATAAATTGTAATGTCCGGTGGTGGGACTTCAAAATAAGAGGATATATATATTTTTTCCTGTCTAGATCTTAATAATCAAATAATGCAAGATGTTATAAAAGTCAGTTCTTCAAAAATGGTAAAAACAGGTCAGACTTTCTGCAGATCACCCCTCTTCATATGACAACAGGAAGGTCTCCTAAGCACCACGTAGCCAGAAAATTAACTTCCTGGCACTTGTAGTTATGGAATTTCCTTTCAATGTTAAATATCTTTTTTTTTTTTTTTTTTTTTTTTTTTACTGAAACCGTAATTTGATAGGGGAAACTAAGGGATATTTCGGAAGGAAAAAAATGAACACAGCATTTAAAAAGAGAACAGTGCAAAACAATACATTAAAGTTTATAGATTAGATTACAAGTTCTTGATAACAGCATAATTACAACCAATAGCTGGACTGGAAAACAATAATTAGATATAATTTCCTTATCTTGTTAACCAACGAAGTGAAAGCAACTGCCATTACATACAAAAAGAGGTGATCCACCGAACTGCAATTAATATCATTTTTTGACATGTTTTTAATGCCCTAAAACACACTGAATTAAGTATATATAGCATTTATTCATTTTACATTCTACGACACATCATGAATGTCAAAGGAAAGGCCTAACCACAGATAAACACAAATAACACATATTCCTTACCTTGACGGGTATCTGACAAAAATATCTGACAAAAATATTCATAACCATCTAATTGTCCCTAGACTACCAAGCAAGCATCAGAAGGAGGCCGAGGGAACTACAGGGGGGGTGGGGGAGGGAGAGGAAGGGTCGAGGACAAGTGACAATCATTCTAAATCAAAATTTTGTGAAACATTCTATGAGATGGTCGGATGGGCAGGAGCAGGGAAGGGGGGGGAGGAGGGAGGGTCTCCGTTTGAGGGGGATAGGATGGAGCTGGGAGAGGGGGGTGGAGCGGAAGGGGAAGGGGAGGGGCGGGGGGGAAGAGGGGAAATGGGCGGCTTTTGTGAAAAGGGAATGGGGGGGGAGGGGCGAGTGTTTGAGGGTGGAGAGTTGTTGTGCGGGTTTGGTGATGGTGGTCACAGGCTAACCTAAAAGGAGCAGCTATGTGGAGGCTGTTTGTGACTGCGGACCGTGTTGGTGTTTGCCTGCCACTCTACACTGCACATTGTCAGCTGCTCACACATGCATAATGAGAGTGAGTCTACATGTGCGGGGTACCGTGCCAAGATCACAGAGGGTGGTGGTTGTGGTGGTGCTGACAGCTGTGTGGGGCATTGTGAGCAGGTCTGGTCCATCACGCTACAGATTGCATGCTGAGGGCACTCGCCAGGGGAGGGCACCAGCCAGAGGAGACAGCCACACCATGACTCTGCATGCCATTCAGTACACTGTCGGCATTTTTGTCAGGCACTGAAGAGGAGTATCGCATGTTGTACTGTCCCTTTCGGGGGCGCAGTACCTACCACCTCCTGTGTGGTGGTGGGGGGGCCCTCATCTTCCAGCACGGAGTGTGAGGGTCGCATCGATGGCTGAAGGCCAAAGATGCATGTGTTCATGAGCCACGTGATCTGTGATGCCATGCGACACAGGCCAGCCCTCAGCAACAGATATTCCTCAGATGCCTGCCTGCTGTCCTTAGGCGTGTCTACCAGACACACTGGCAAGGCTGCACCTTGCGGGGACAGCAATGAGCTATCGCAAGGTCAGAGGTAACTCATCTTTTTATGCAACGTGGTGATGCTGATGTAATCAGATAAATTATCATCGCTGGCTACCCAAAGGGAGATCGTCTGATTGTTCGAAGGCATGCTGAGGATGAGGGAGGTCTTCATGGCAGCCAAAGGTGCACAGAGGAGTCTGTGTGTGGTGAGTCTAGAGCATTTTCACCCACATGGTAAGTCCTGGGGCAACACAGGGCTACACAACCCCTCCCCCACATGGTCTCATCTTGTGTGCGCTGGAGCGATGTGACCAGTGGAGCCCACGAGGACATGGCCCCGTGGTGCCCCTGGCGATCATGGAGGTGAGGTGCCCGCCCCCTGGAAGGAACGGCGGACCAGCAACCATGCACGACCACACGTGCCCAACGCTACAAAACACGCATGCCGCCACCCGCGCAGACTACGGTGCAAAACTCAACACAAGGAACTCAACAGACTCGCTCATAACGACAATATTATTCAACGTAACAGAAACCGGAACCAAAATCGAAAAACTCTACGATAACATCTGTGTTTGGGTGCAATGATGGTGTTGAATCTGACATGTCTACAAAAAATCTCCAACCCAAAAAAAGAGACAGAAATCAACAAAACAAAAAGAGAACTAAACAGATCCTCCGTGTTAATGGTCTGCCGCGGAAAATTTTGGTGCTGAGTTTGTATGGCAAGAGTGATCACACGTAGATAACATGTCATTCTACAGCAAGAGTGATCACATCAAGGTTACAGTTCCATCCTACAGCACAGTTACACACCAATGCATAAAATGGCATTCATCTCACAAAATACTGTATCAACAACCCGTGGTTCACATCCAGGTGTCGGGTTCAAATATAAAAAAAATCTTGACCCGGCATCATACCAAAAAGAGAAGAAAGATAGGAAAAAACGTGCATAGGAAAAATATATCCAGTCCTTGATGGGGAAAAAATGTATATATATATATATATTCAGGGGCTGCACCCCCAGTGGAAAGATAAGGGTGTTGATACAGTATTTCATAGCGATGACAGCGGTAGCTTTTGAGGAGCAGAGATGAGCAGAGATCAGTGACAAAAGTTTGGACAGAGGATAAAGAGCCAATTTTGCCGCTGAGCCACTCCGGGTGTGAAGAAGTAACTTAAGGTGGTTTACCTGAACAGAAGCATTATGCCCTCTGCAAAATTTCTAAAGTTGTTGTGCCGTGTTATAGACGTAGTGGGATCCAAATCTATATTACCAAAGACCTGGATGATGAAGGGAAACAAAAAACCATCAACTCAGGATCAATCAAAAATTCCAGAAGAAGTAAAAAAAAAAAAAAAAAAAAAAAAAAAAAAGAAAAAAGAAAAAAAAATGGAAAAAAGAAAAAGAAAGACGCGATCTCTATACTAGTGGGGTTCCAGGGACACACATCAAAGAATCGGAGGTGTCAACATGAGGGATTTTAGGGATTATGAGACAAGAAAAAAGAGGTTATCCAAGGTCAAGAAAAGGCATAAGAAAGGTCAAAGTTAAGGGCGGGGCCAAGGGTTGTCCTCTCACCAGGGCTCTCAGGAGGGCAAGTGACCAGTCGCTAGGGTCATATCAGGGTCAAAATTCAGGGACATGGGACAAAAAACTCTGCACAGGTTAATATACTTCAGGGAGTAAAACTATCCCTGACCAGATACCAGAAAGTGGGCAAGCACCACAGACACCATCTAGTCTAGGTTAGCTAGTCTAGGCTAGTTGGATTACATATCTAGAGTTACGTTACCTTCTACAAGAAAACTAAACTACAACGGCATCGCCATCTATAGGAGAAGACATGTCAGCAGACAGCTAAACATAACATGTCTGTTCAGGGATATTAACTAGACTTTGGGTGGATTGGGAAAAGTCCACGCTCGACCAAATGGATCTGCGGCGGACGCGCTGATTGGCTGCTCGCGAAGGCCACGAGCCTCCAATCAGCGCCCTCGGCCGCGCGTCCACCTGATCGGGCCTTTGGTTTCCGAACGCACCCCCACTTTGTCCCAGGATGCTAGGATCTCACTTTGAGGCTACGTCGAACGCAAGGGGTTTTGGGGGGGGAGGGGGCTGCGAATTTGGCCTTTGCGTCATTCTCGAAAGGTTTATTTATCTCTGCGCTGAACAGACATTTTGTCTCATTGTTCAGGTTTAGAGATGGGATTCAGAAATACTGGATCTGTCTCAGGTTGCTATGGCCGAGCCTGGTTGGACGGGGGTTGCAAACTCACCGAAACAAGAGCAAGAGAGCGGCGAAGAAAGACTGAAAGTTGTTATGTCGATTTAGGTCAGTGTCGGGGTCAAATTTCATGTTGCCAAAAACCTGGGTGTGAAGTACGGGAGAAAAAAAGACGGGAGAGTGCTGTAATAGTTGGGTGGGTTGGGGAGACATCGTGCGAGCGACCGCCTAGAGGGCCACGTCGCACGACCTAACGGCGGGTGCAGGGCCACGTTTCCCGTTCTCTCCGTGGCCCCGAACCGCTGCCATCGCTCGCTTGGGAACGCGGCATGACAAGCCGCAAGAGTGCCATTATCAAGAGGAGTGGTTAGGGGCGACCGCGAGCAAAAAGTCGCCCCGCAAGCTGTTGATTTCACTCCGAGCGGCCTGCCATCCCGCATCCCGTTCTCATGACAGAACACGAGTCACATGTAGTACAACATATTGGGATAACACTGTGGGCATCAGTCTTAGAACAGTGATATGGATAGAGAATTTACATAATATAGATATCAATGGAATTTCGGGGATAGATTTAAACATATGGATAGACATTTACAATCATATGAGGGCACAACAACCCAGCACGTTTAGAACTTAAGGAGCAGGACAGTGAAGTATAGGCCCCTGGTGGAGGAAACCAGCAAAGATCAACCTTGGGAACAGTCATGAACTAATCGTAAAATTAATTATTCCAAATATCACTCCACTTCAAAAAAAATAACAACAGTTTGGTTAGAATAATGCTCAAGAGAATATATATATATATACACATGTTCATCACAAGAGATAATGTCTGCATTATTTCAAAAGGAAAAAAAAACATATTATTGGTGATGGTTTTAGAAAATAATAAGTCATGATATATAACCATAGGATTAATTTTTTTCCTCTATCATCAGCTTATATAACCATTATCCAGATTTCTAGAGAAGAACCATGGCTCCAAATCTGGGCTTACCTGCATGCCGATAATAGCATAGATGAAGAATAACATTGCAATGAGTAGACAAACATATGGCAGCGCCTGTGGGAGGAGGGAAGAAGTTGAATTTGTGGATGCGGAAGTCGCAGAAAGTCTCTCTCTCTCTCTCTCTCTTTCTTTCTCACTTACTTTCTCTCTCTCTCTCTCACTACTCACACTCTCTCTCTCTCTCTGGTTCTCTCTTTCCCACTTACTTTCTCTCTCTCACACACTTACACTCTCTCTCTCTCTCTCTCTCACTCTCTCTCTCTCTCTGATTCCATCAGTAGTTTGTGATTTTATCTATTAATTTTTCTTACTTCTCTCTCTCTCTCTCTCTCTCTCTCTCTCTCTCTCTCTCTCTCTCTCTCTCTCTCTCTCTCTCTCTCTCTCCTTGCAGCAGCTACTTACTTTGAAGGACTGTACGAATGTCCATAGTAGAATACGAATGGTATATCCTTGCCGAAGAAGCTTTATAAGCCGGGCAGCTCGAAATAGTCTCAGAAACCCAACATTGATGAAGTTTTCCTGCGGGAATATTGACAGCATTAAATCGACATAACTCACGAGCGGGTTCACTCTAAGAGGACTTGGCTGGGAGGGAATGTATAACTGAATGAATGTTCTCGAATATATATATATATATATATAATGTATCTTTTTCTTTTTCTTCTTTCAGGAGGATAAAAAAAAATATTTCATGTATTGCCACGATTGTTTTTGTTTTTGTTTTCTTCTTCTGGGGGGTTGAAAAAGGGCGAGGGAGTGAATAGAAAACGGTCTTATGAATAAAATAGGGAGGGAGGGCTAAGTTATCTGTAGTGAGGATGCCCAAAGCTACTACGATGATGCAATCTTAAAAGTAACTTCCAACAAATACCAGTATTTTAAAAGCATATACAAATTTCTTTACATATAATCAAGCATTGCACTTTGCATGTCGACAAAAAAGCTGCATCAAGTACAAGAAATGCAGGGCAATGGTTTGCCATACTATAAGTCCAGCAACATACTGCCTCATACTTCTCATACGTCGTCCGACAATCTCCCTAGCGGCACATACTTGGCAGAGTACGAGTGGCAGGTGGAGAGTGGGCTTTACGGCAAGAGAAAAGAAATACCGTGTCGAGGATGTGACTCACTTCTTGTGAACCGATGAGATAGGTGGATCAATTTTTCGTTCAGGAGATAGATGGATTAATTTTTTCGTTCAGGAGATAGATGTAAACAATCAAGACAAGTGCCACTCAGTGAGAGATAAAAGGAGGGTTCTTTGAATATGATTTCTTCAAGGTGCTCGATTCAAATTTCGTTCTTATAGAAAAAAACAACAACACAGGTGCTATTTAGTGAGAAAAAAAATAGGAGGATCTTTGATTAGAATTTCTTCGGGTGCTCGAATCATTGCAATTCACACGCGTTTGGTCAAGTGAGAATGGGGGAAAAATATAGACGTGAGTGCATGACATAGAAAAGTAGAGAGATGAGCGACTGCATCCACCATCGCGTAGTCTCAGCACGCGATGGTGGGAAGGCTCGAGGTTCTGAGACTCCGGAAGACTCATGGTTCACAAGAGGGTTCGAGTGGGACTTCGAATTGTATTTCTGGACTGCGAGGATAATAGGGGGGGGGGGAAAGGGGGTAAAGGGGAGGGACTTATATAAAAAAAGAACTCAATGGTCGTCTTTCTACAGGAACAAACTTACTGTCCCTTCGCCATAGATTCGCTAAGATCAAGAGAGAATTTAGTGTTAGTTGAGTGTCTTGGAGAGGGAGGCCGAGGAGGTTTGTTTATACAGAGAAGAAAAGAAAAGAAACATGCCGAACATAAACATAAGGAATGTCCTTTTTTTTCTGTAAGAGAAGCATGTCTAGAAACGAAGAGGTAAAAAGAGGTCAAACAAACGGAACAGGATAACATGGTCCAAAGGAAACTCAAAACATGGGATGCTGTTTGAGGTGAAAGTTAAAAGGCGAAACCATTAAAAAAAAAATGTGGCCAAGGATGCCGACCAACCAGCAAGTCTCCGTGTGCATACGACGTCACCACGCAATGGCCTACATGATAAAGAGAATCATGACAAATCTATCTGAAGGAAGTAAGGAAAAACAGGCATCCCAGGTAAAGCTCTGAGCAGCGGCAGTTGTCCAGCATGATATGTGGTCAGCAATAGGTACCATGCTTGACCTGGGCCCATGCTGTATGTGGCATCATACTCGACATGGGCCCATGCTGCACGTGGCACCATGCTTAACGTGGGCACTACGCTTGGTGTGAGCCCATGCTGCATGTGGCACCAGACACCCGTGGCCCCCCGGGTGTAGGGCGCGCATAAGAGTCTCTGAGGTGTGCCAGGCCGTACACCACCAAGCGGTCTAGAGCAAGTGGCACAGCACAGGGGGCCAGGGTATACGTGGCCCTACACACGAGGCACCATGCGGGGCACTGTGCACGTGATGCCACAGACGGGACCCCAGCAGATGGAATTCATGTTCTACTCACCTCGTCCTGTGATGACGGACATAACGCAATGATTAAAATATGTTAAACTACTTTCAGAATTGTATTTTGTAAACTAATCAATAAAAATGAAAGTTTGTTTGGCTATTTATAATTTCATGTCAG